GATCTCAGCCAGAGGCTTCTCCCACTGCAGTGCAAGCGATGTTACGCTAAGAGCTGAAGTTTGTGGTTCATTCCATGTAGAACTACCACAAAGCAGAGCGGCTGTTGATTGCTTTCTGATATTTTTAAGTCCTGTCGTGCTGATCACGATCTTCACTCCCCTCATCAACGCCCACCATGATACTTCGTCCTCCTCGGCGGCGACAAGTAGAATATTCCCTGGTGATGGGTCTGTAGCAAAAGATGACAGACTTATTAGGACTGTAGCGTAGTAGAGGGCCTGCGAATTGTCGTCATTGACCTGGGCGAGCATGGCCGCCACTTCTGGAAGTGCCGCCGCTGCATAGTCTTCTGCCAGACGATGATAGTAACCCGCTTGATCGGGTCGTAGTCGGGTGAGGTGTCGGGCGGTAATTGATAGGACCATTCGCATAACGCATTCGTACTTGAAGCCGAGTGGTGGAATCACATCCCTAAAGATTTGGGGGTCTCCTAGGGTTATCGACGTGTGACACATGTAGTGGTGTAGGAGTTCGGGGCTCTGGATATCGAGAATACAGGCATTACGCAAAAGGGGATCGATGTGACTAGAGGGTGTCTGGCCATAGTCTGATTCCATATCAGAGGCCGTCGGAGTAGGTATGTCTGTGGCGGGCTTCCTTTCTTCGTTTTGTCGAATTCGTTTTCCTTGACGCTCGTGGTCCCCTAGGGACGTGGAAGTCTGCTCCTCTGTGGATGCAGATAGATAGTCGCATTTCATTGAAAATCTCACGCAGTTGGTGCACTCGGGGTGAATCTCATCGCACTGTTAAGCAAGAATGTTAGTTGAGCAGCTCGATGAACAAGTAGTAGCCAAGGGCATGTTTTCCGGGCGACGTTGATCTGATGGATGTAACTTAGCCAACCTTGACTTTGCGTCTTTTGCAATTCTGACAACCATTTCTAGACTTTTTGTGCGATCTTCTCTTATTTTTGCGACACGACCCGCAGCAACAGCCTCCGGACCGGGTGGTCGTCGAGGAGGAACCCAAGCAAATGTCGATGCCTTCACCTGCCATAGCCACGGCAGATGTTTCAATTCTTTTCTGACGGTTCACTCTCCCGAGCGACAGTGCATATATAATAGCACAGATATCTCGAAGCTATTCAGGGTCAGGGCACTTTTCTGTCGCGTTGCTGAAGCCGGAGACATTGCTCAGAAGTCGGCGCGACTCCCATGCTGTGGGCGTGCTGTGTCTTCGAAAAGGTGTAAGCTCGGTCTCGCGTTCCGACGACGGGATTTATTTCCGTCACTAAAAAGCATATAGCAGAGATGAGCAGAACAGCTAAGCTTTATTGTGGTTGAGAGAAAACAAGCCTTTGGCCAGCTCGTCGTATCGGATACGAAAATTCTCCGACGAGCGTCGATCATTGGATGACCTGTCAGAGGCCTCGGGATTCGTCGCCGTCTTCTCCACTCACGCAGAGTCAATACCAAAGAAACATGCACGGGGCTGGTCTGAGTTGTTCGAGGGCATTATCGCACGAGCGTCGAAGCCACAGGGGATTCTTCGAAAGTTCTGAAGCCATGTGAATGATTCAGGCTGCATTGACATTTGCCCCAGGTTCCATTGGGGGCTTTCTGGGCACAAACAGAAGCCACCCTTGAATTCTTGATGACGCTTGAGATAGTGGACGGCGCCTCTATTGTTGAGCCGCCGATGACCCCAACGGCTCGAAGTATGTTAGGCTTCCCTCTTGTTCTACAGCCAGTCCGATGGAGCTCACAAAAATCTGCTTCGTATAATTGCATTTGTCTGGAAAAGTTGGCGCCTGAAGTACGTGTAGTGAGCTGACAGGTAATGCAGTTGGCAAGGCGATCAACGCTAAACAGCGTGAACCGAGTGGCTGAGATTAACTCAACGTCATCTCCATTATCGCATAGGCCTGGGGGACTACTGAAGTACATTCGAAAAGACAACTGATCCTCCTCATTTCTCACTTGACAAGAACTGTAGCTCTGTTGAGTCACAGTGCCTCATTCCCCTGGACATTATACTCTTGGCAGGTTGCAAGAATCCTTTGTCTGATTCGGACTTTCAGTGCTTGTCGAAACATTGACATTTATTTGATCTTTTGTCCATTGAGGCTTGTTTATCTCTTTCCGAGGTATGGCTTTCACGTGACACTTTTCGTTCAAGCCAAAACGTTATCAAGAGCATCGCCTGCCTGCCACCTCCGGATGTTATCCGCCTGTTGCTCATACCACGCGTTCAAGGTACCCTCTTCGACATAACCCATGTGAGGTGTCAGGAGCACCCTACTGCGACCATCACGGCCCCATTCAGTCGACCGCCACTCACTGTCCACAGGCAACGGCTCGAGGTTGAACACGTCCAAGGCACAGCCCCTGATGCCGCCCTTCTTCAAGACGTCTAGAAGATCCTTCTCGACTACAAGGGGGCCGCGAGAGGTGTTGATAAACAACGCCGACTTCTTCATCTTGGAGAGGTCATCCGCATTGATGAGTCCCCTCGATCGGTCTGACAGTACAATGTGAACGCTGAGAACGTCAGCAGTGCTGAACAGCTCTTCCCGGCTGACAGCCTTGAAAGTGCCCACCGGCAAGCCCTCAGCCTTGGCCTTCTCATCTGCAGCTTCTTGTGTCAAATTCGTGCTCCATGCAATGACGTTCATCCCAAATGCTACATGCATGATCTTTGCCGTCGAGACGCCGAGACGGCCCAGTCCAACGACGCCAAATGTCTTGCCTGTCACGCCCATGGCAACGTCCGTCTGCCACAAGCCAGATTTGACAGCGAGGTCATCAGCGGCGATGTTCCGTGCCAACGAGAGGATCAGGGTCACGCAGTGCTGAGTTGTGCTATTCGTGCCGGTCTGATTGACTGTCGCCTTGTCAACAGTGCCAGCGACGGGGATGCCGCGATCTTTGAAGGCTGGGAGGTCGAGACCCTTGTTACGCAGGCCCGTGGAGAGAAGAAGCTTGAGGTTTGGCAATCTTCCAATGAGTTCCTTGGGAAACGGAGTGCGTTCTCTCATGGTACCTTGACATTCGTGTTAGCCTGAGTTATACACTCATGAAGACATCGGAGTTGCTGCCATTCTATGGAAGGGAATGGGTCATGGTTACAGAGAACATCGAAAGGCTCCAGCCTCGAGACCAATGCATCCTTGGCGTATTCAGGGGTCTCGGGGTGATTGTAGGGCAGCAGGGTGTCCTTGAAAGTCGTGACATTGAACAACGATTTATCCAGCTTGCTGAAGTGGGGTTCCGAGAGGCCCTGGTAGTCGTCCAAGACGGCGATCTTGAGTTGCGTAACCTGAACCATGGTTGCTAGGTATCTAGATGAGGTAGGATAACTAGCGAGAGTGTAAAGGCGTTGTCCGGGATGCGGGGATTCACGGCGTGCGCACCACGAGGTTGACCGGCTGAGAGGGGTCGTCGAAGTACTGATGCGGATTGGAGAGCGATACAGCCTCATGCAGAACTTTGAGAGGCGCAGTATCGACTATGGGAAAGAAAATAGCGAGCTGGCGTTCCAATTTCACGAGGAAAATTGGTGATATCAAGGTGTTCAGGGCGACGGTGACTCAATTCGGCATCTCCAAGTCGGCTTGAGGATCTTGGCGGGGCTATGTATTGACAGTCGGCGACTTGGAGGTGAGCGTGCATATGCAGCCTCACTCGACAGGATCAGATAATGGAAAGGAAGCTTCCGAATGGAGGTAAGCCTTGCTACAGCGTGGTTGGACGAGACGTTGTTTTCTCACGACACCATCTGCTCATGTCACGAATAGTTCTCAAATCACTCGAAGAGCATCTAATATCCCGGTGGAGGGGTAAAACATTAGCCACTCAGAAGGCGTTTTCGTGGGGTTGGATGAGGGGAAAAGGCCGATCCGGTACCGAAAACCCGAGTTTGTGTTCTTCGGTTGTATTAAGCTGTAGAGATTACAAAGCCTCCATCGACAAGACTGGAAACAGTCACCTGAATGATAATGGCCTTCCCATCTACATACAACAATGCCAGCATTCATTCAACCGCCACGAGTGCTCCTTTCTGACGGTCAATTTGTCAAGACTCAAGCCTCAGTAATTCGGCGGGTCGGGACATATCGGCATTCAGGCCGGGATTTTACGACTAACAAATTATCTAATCAAGTCTAGTCATAGTCTTTGGTAAGACACCTGCTATCTCATAACCTGTCGTGCTTACGTATGTATTCTCTGTCTCTCTCACGGTTCACCCACGTTCCTGGCCCCCAATCTCTCCAGGGTGGTGGCCAGACCACTCGGTGCCCTCTGAAGACTCTCCATCGCGCTCACTAGTCATGGGCCACCCATGAGGGCCAACCTGGAGATGGGATGGAGATTGCCCGGAGGTTTGTGGAGTTGACGTTTCTTTGCCCAAACAACGGCGCCTAGCTAACCTTGCGTCCCCGAGTCCCTGACCGCTCCGTTCTGGAGACAGTGAACTGAAGTTTGAACTTCGGAGTCTCAAGAGGGTCTCTTCACGTTGTTTCTCGGACCATTGCGAATGACGCCATCGACTAGCGTCCCACCAGATGAAAATATTTGCTAACAGAATTTGACAGCTTCACCAACAAAGGTAGGAGGATGGCGAACGCCGGGCAGTCAGACGGAGGTCGGAGGGGAATGCCTATTCTTGCACGACGGTGACAATGCTGAGGCTCTCATTTACTACAGACTGCTAATGTCCGTCTTCATCCCGTCCCGCTCTTCGCTTCTGTATTACTGGCACGCGGGCCGCGGCTGGCGTGTCTGGTTCTGAATACCAAGAAATGGGAACACTTCAGAAGTTCCTCGCCAAGCAACCAAAAGCATCCATCGACGCGGACCAAGTCGGTTGATCGGTTGGTTGCTGCCAAGTCGGTCCAACACAACTGACAAATGATGCCTCTCTGGTAGGTTGGTTTGCGGGTGGCCAGGAACTGCATCCTCTCACCTGATTCTGGAATCTGGATTTCTTGTTACAGCTAATGATGAGATTTGCCTCCCTTCTGATGAATCGTAAATTTGACCACACAAATTGTGAGAGACAATCACCAGAGAGCCTGGTTGTGGCTACAATCAAGGATGAATCAAGATTGACCGCGGACTATGAGGGGGACGTTTAGCGTAGGGTCTCAATCGCCGCGCTCTTCGCTGATCGCTCGTACAAATGTAACGTGATGTCGACAACAAGCTTTGCCAGCCCTCTCGGCCATTCTCTTCGTGTCTCTCTTCAGTCTCGGCTTTGCTCTCGGCGCTGCCGTCTGTTCTTGGGGCCTGAAGGCTGCTGCGCCAGCGCGCCCATCCCGTCGCGGCGTTGCCTTGACTCAACGCTCTCACTATGCCATGAAGAGCCATGGCGCCTGCAAGCAAATGTCAAGCATTTGCCGTTGCGAGCCTCTGCTAGCCTTCGAGCCTCCTTCTAGCTAGGCAAAAGCTCGGCGAGACTGGGCATTTACGCGACGTCCAAAGCAGACATCCTGATAAAGCTCCCCGCCGTGCCGTCCTCGAGTCTTACTGCGAAGGGACATGGCTCGCACGTTATGAGAGACTGGCACTCTTGGGGCGTGTGGAGAGGTTCCAGGGCCCATTAGCGCTCGTAAATCCGTTCAAGCCCCCCCGGACGCCACCTGCGTAGTGCTAACCAGGGGACTTATCCTCGCATTTTCACCCGTCCGACCCGTCGCCTACGACTCCATTGCCGTGCAGGCGTTTGTCCCAATGAAAGATACCTCTCCTACACCCCCTGGTTTTTGTGGCTTGCGATTAATCTTGGATTTCTATGTTGCCTCGCGAAACTCGATACTTAGGTATCTGAGCTCGACGGCGCGAACGACATGAGGCAATGAGCCTACCGAGGTTTGAAGCAAGAGGTTCACTACCAGCAGAATGAATAGAGTCTACCTGAATGTGCCCATGAAAACTTATGAGGACTATCGATTTCTCAGTCAAGCCTACCACACCGTTATCAAAACACAACTGCAATGTGATTCCTATTCGTACTAGTGTTATGATATTGGCGACTCTCGGGCTTCGTCCCGCTCTGAACTCAATGTGCTATAATCAACATTTAGCGGCCAAGAAGAGTGAAGTCAGTTATCATGATCGTGTAAGAGTCTCGCGAGCTTCCATTCGTTGTCCTTCTTATCGAAAGTTCGGCAAGCCGTGGGTTGGCTGAAGCCTGAAGGATTCGCGAGAGGGCTGGTTCGTGGGACATTGCCGTGCTGATTGTATGCGACATCCCGCGTCGCACATGCTGTGAGTGGTGCGCCCATCTCTACTCAGGCCACTGATAATCTGGCAACCCACACCATCTGGGGGAGACCTGGGGTCGCCCGACCTCTCTGACTTCAGGTTCCCATCGTGTCGGGGTCTGTCTGGTCTGTGCAGTGGTTGCCCCCATCAAGTGCAGAAAGTAGACACGCGACACCGAGACCACTGCCCGTCACCTAGTTGCTGTGTGCTGAGCCTGATGCACGCGGGCTTTGCTCCATTGTCTCGCGGGGTTCAACAAACAGTGTATGAGTACTCCGTATTCGTAGACGAACTTTTGAAGAGATGCCTCGGCGGCGCTACCCGTGAATACTAGCAACCAAAGCCAAGAAGACAAGCAATGAGGCGAAGCTTGGAGCATGCTTGCAACCGAGTCTTGGCTTTTGGACGAAAACGAGGGAGACGGAGACGGAGATGGGGGCACTTTTGAAGAGACCAACTCGCTAGGACATGAAGCCAAGACCGTATATTTCATTGCCCATTGCCTGGGCGGTCGTGATGGTAATACCACCTTTCCTTTTGGTCTCTTGAACCCCATATAATCCTGTGGGCACATGTCAAGTGTCATCTCTGGAGTAGGAAGTCGTGCCCATTGCCATTGCCCAAGAGTCTGGCACCGTTGACTAAAAGAAAAGCCTTTCGGGCATTGGTGTGTCTGGGCGGGCTTCCGCTCCCACATTCCCATATTCCCCCAAACTTCCCAATTCCCACCGACGCCAATCCTTCAAGTCTGCACAATTTCGGCGGTATCCAGTGGATCGCAAGCAGTCCGATACGAATCTCCCGTCCGACTGGTCCATCTCAAGAGCCAGAAGCTGATCCATCATCCAAAAGGACCTTTCGATGGGGCCGTTCCAAGAACTGCAGACAAAAATCCCCCGGGGTGTCTGGCTGAACCGGGTATAGCCTCGCTCCGGAACCAACCAAACAGGGGAGGACGTGGGTGTCGCGACATTAAGCTCATGGGCCATTGCTACGGCTCTTATCGTTTGGGAAGGTCGCCGGGGAACTAGTGCCACGGCAGAGAGCTGCAACTAAAGTGTTTGACCGGACCATTCCATGCGGTCCATCTGTCAGCAACCAGCTATGCTAGGAACGCGTACGTGGATTGTGGGTAGCACGACGCGGCTTTGGCTGAAGGAGTTGAAGTGTAGAAAGAGATGAAGGAGGTACCGCATGTTCAGCTGAATAGTAAGTTAGTAGCATCAAACTGCATGGGAGAGTGAACGATATCGTCTTCTGCTGTAGAGAAAGAGAGTCATGATGTGCACATGCGGCAATCCTCGGCCTTTGCCCTCGTTCGCAAACTCAATTGTCCATTCAACCCCTCTCCAGCCCTAAGCCAAGACCGTTTACACCCATTCAACCACTACGGTGGCCTCGGTAGCGACATCACCTTCCCTTTCCCGCGCCGTGTATGAGTCTTGGCGGTGCGTATCATGAAGGGGGCGGCGATGATTTGAGATGCGCCTTCGCATCATCGACATCCCCCCGGAAGTACACCAATCGACCAGTGATCCGTTCATTGGTAGCGACTACTGTGTCAGCAGATGCAGTAAAGTTGAATAATGCGATTCGTCGCATACTAAAAAAGGCCCCTAATTAACGGCAATCCTTCGTGTGGCGCATCAACGAATCAAGACCTCGGTGTGGCACTCGGCTATCACCAGGCCACCCGCCCCCTATGCTCTCCCTTCCCGTCCATCGTGCAGGACGGCGCCAGGCATGCCCAGGACCAACTTTGTTCTCGAAGCCGCGCCAGAAGCCAAGTCGCAGCTAGGTATGCGGCAGGCTCACGCTGGCGCTCTCCCGTGAGCCGAAGTGAACGCCAAAACACGTCTGTTCATCGAAGTTACACCACCACACCAACACTGGCAACACAGAGCCAACGAGCAATTTTTTCGTGCCAACACTGATAGAGAAGTCAGGCCCGGGAGACGCGCCAATGAAGATGCTCGATGAGATGGGGTGGCGGCGATGCCAAGGTCGATCAACGTTACCGCCGAGCCCCTTGGCTGTCGCATTTCACCGTCCAAGAGACTCAAGCTCTCACCACTTTGTCGCCCTGCTGGCTGACTTTTCCCGAGTCTGGTAGGTAGGCAGATTCTGCAACCTGCTGATATCAGATAGAGCCGGCCGAGTTCAGCTGTTTGCCCGGGTTTCACGAGTCGCGAATCAGATGCTCTCCCTCACCAGAGTGTGTGTCTAACAAGGCGAACTCAGGCTCGCTGTCTCTCACTCTGTTTCTCAACTCTAGTGTTAACCCCAGACCGACATCAGCTACGCCGCCGCCTATCTGCTACCCTCTCATCCTCGACCTGCCTAATCGGGCCATTTGTCCTCGAGCCCATCACGGTCCATCATATCCATCGGGGTCCATCGTCTCCCTCTCGTTGGAGCTGCCCACCACCCACCACTACTATCTGTCTCGGTCCAGCCTGGCGTGGATTCCGTGGACTCTCACCTGTGGCATCGTTCTGTTGCAACAGACCCCTTCAACTCTTCCCTGCGACCTGCATCCTGCGCGCGCTGGCCGCCTGTCTCCGATTCTGACCCCCCCTGCACCGTCCCAAACGTCCGACCTCGACCCCGTCGTCCCCGACAGTATTCTCTTGGTGGTGCGGTACTCCGCGTTACTCTGTTCTTTGCAACATAGCTAAGTAGAGAAAGAGGTAGCTGGTATGGTATCCTCTCGTCTTCTGTCCCGTGGCGACGGTTCTGGGCGAGATGGACGGTCCCCTCCCTCCCTTCTTGACGGCTCCGTCGACGCCCACGCACGAACCTTGGACCCAGGAACCTTGTTGACATCGAGGCAAACCTTACCTCCTCCACGATTGGCCCGTCCCATGCCATCCCATGCCACCACCGTCTTCCCTCCGTGCTGGGCATGAGTCCATGTCCATGTCATCCAACCCCCGTCCTTGTCCCCCCACCTCCAGGCGCTAGACTCCTAGAGTATCTTGTCCATGTCTCTGTATCTGCGGAGACCTACCGGCTGCCGAATGCAGCTTTGATGCGACCTCCTCCTGTCGCGACCGGGAAATATAAATCATCTCTCATGAGACGCTCCCTCACTCATGGCCCTCCGCTTCCCTCTCCTCTCGCGATCAGCAGCCCTTCATCCACGGCCAACAGCTCAGGTCCAAGTTTGACCCACCTGTCAATTTGCTGTCAGAGACTCGTTAACTCGTGTCTTTCGCTATCATCACTCGTGGAGCGTCTTGTACCAAACCTCTGGTTCCTCACCTCGCCCCAGAAACTTTCCTCCAACTCAAACCATGAGTAACGCTGGAGGCCTTCAGGACGATGTCCTGGCCAAGGCCCACGTTCCCCAGGCCACTGTGCAGGGCACCTCGAAGGAGACTCGCGGCTCATTCGACGTGACCGCCGCCGCCGCCCCTCCTCTCGAAGACAACTACTACGACTCCAAGTCCGACGATGACTATGAGGATAAGCCCACCGAGGAGGAGTTGAACACGCTTCGCCGTGTCTCGGGTCCCATTCACTGGGGTATCTACACCATCGCCTTCGCCGAGCTCTGCGAGCGTTTCTCTTACTACGGTTCCTCCGTCTTGTACACCAACTTCGTCATGCGCCCCCTTCCTCCGGGTTCGACGACCGGCGCCACTTACGGCGCTGATATCCCCGCCGGTGCCTTGGGCATGGGTCAGAGAGCCTCTCAGGGTGTCTCTCTGGTGAACCAGTTCTGGGCTTACCTCGTTCCCCTTTTCGGGTATGTTGCTTCATGTGAATACTCGCCGAGAACACAGACTGACTAGTATTCCAGTGGTTGGTTGGCTGATTCCAAGTTGGGCCGTTACAAGGTCATTCACATCGCCATCGCCGTCTCCACCGTCGCTCACATTATCCTGACTGTCGCCGCCGCTCCCTCCGTCATCTCCAAGGGCAAGGTCGCCTTTGCCCCCTTCTTCCTCGGTCTCTTCACACTTTGCTGCGGTACTGGTCTGTTCAAGGCCAACATCTCTCCCCTGCTCGCCGAGCAGAACAAGGACACCCGTATGCGCGTTGAGACACGCGGCGGCGAGCGTGTCATTGTCGACCCTTCCGTCACCAACACCCGTATCTTCCTGTGGTTCTACTTCGCCATCAACTGCGGTGCCGTCAGCGGTCAGATCTCCATGGTCTTCGTTGAGAAA